GAGATCTGCTCACATTAATCGGCAAGACATAATCTCTGATGGGATCTATCACTGAGTTGAGGCAGCAGATATTAATCATCTCCATTAGTGGAACTAAGGAGGAAGAAAGGGCACCTTCATTGAAGGATGCATCTGGGAATCCAGATCTATGATTTGGGAAAACAGAGAGAAAAAAAGGAGAGAGGTTTTCTAGAGAGAGAGACATTTCGTCGCCGCTGAGTCGTCTTCAATATAACCGCCTAGTTAAGTAGTTACATGAGAAAACTTCACGTTAGGGCTTACAACTTCGTATCGCCTTCCAGATTTTGGCCCAGTTCCAACTCATGTCTTCACAAAAAATAAAGGGTAAATACAATTTAATATCCAAACCTTTCATTTTAAACAATATAATAGCCAAACCTTTTCGAAAACAATCTAATATCCAAATCGTCAACTTTCCGTTCGTTTAACCGTTAGTTGACACTTCAAAAAGCTTTGTTTAGGGGAAATTGTCACAATACAACTTTGTTTTCTTGTTTTGGCATTGCAGATGACTGAATATTTAGATATTATACACCATCATGGTGGAGTCATAGACTTCTCGGGTTCGAAACTACGATATGTTGGTGGTTTTTTAGAGAAGATATCGATGGATATTGATGAAGTGTCGTACTTCGAACTTTTTTGAAGTGTCAACTAAAGGTCAAACAGACAGAAAGTTGACGATTTGGATATTAGATTGTTTTCGAAAAAGTTTGGATATTATATTGTTTAAAATAAAAGGTTTGGATATTAAATTGTATTTACCCAAAAATAAATTAGGTGAAATCATTGTCTTCACGATTTACATTGAATTCCATAAGTTTTTATGAATTTATTTGGAAATGATTTGTAGGGTAATAGCGAGAGAGATTTATGTTTCATAATTAACAATAAATTGAGAATTCATATCATTATAAAATGAATTATCATATAGAATTCATTGTCAAATGAAATCTTGTATTTGGAATGTCATATTCAAATCTTAGAAATAAAATGAATTGTCGTGTAAAATTCATTGTCAAATGAATTTCTGTGTTTGGTATGTCATATGTATAAGTAATTTTGTTAATAAAAGAGGATAATTATATCAATTAGTAAATACTTGTAGAATTCATTTTGAAATTCCATCTCAATTCCTCGGAATTAACTAGTTCCGATTATATTGAATTCAAATTTAGAATTGAAAATGAATTCTTTTAAAGACCAAACACAAAAATATTTCATTTCGAAATGAATTCCTCAAAACTATGGAATTCATTTATACCAAACGATATGTACAAATCGATTGTAATTGATGAGATGCGTTTTGTGATAAATGAATGAGTTTTTGTGAGAATTCTGGAGTTAAACGTGCTTAGTATGAAGCAGTGCAGAGATGTGTGACCTTCTAGAGTTCTAGGAAGTGTAGTGATGACAATTTCAACCCACCCCGTAGGGTATTACCCGACCCGACTCGTGATGGGGCGGGTAACACCCGACCCGCAGTAGCGTGGGGTGGGGCATGGGTATCTAGTATCTACTTCAGACCCGCCCTGCCCCACCCCGTTCTTGACCCACTCTATGTCAATTTCTTATTGTATCTATTCATATTTCTCATACTTTGACTTTTCTACAACTAGTTAACTTGATCTTTCAACTAGTTAACCTCAAATACCCATTATATTATCACTATTTTTCATTCATAAAACATTTTTCCTTTCTTTTATCGTAGAAAGTAAAAATTTACATTTATTTTTTTCAAATAACATGCAAGCACGAGTACTACCCGCCCCGCCCCGACCCGTAGTAGCGTGGGGCGAGGCATGAGTATTAAGGTACCCGCCCCGACCTGCCCCATTGTCATCACTGAGGAAGTTATTTTGTTGCACCCAAAAGCAAAACCTTGTGAGGGTAGACGCAAAGTGTACAATATGTTGGTCATAAAAAATGTTGGAGATGGCACAAATGGTACAAAAGCCTCTTTGCGTCCCCTCTTGGCCGATGGTGTGAAAAACCTCAACACGACATTGAGTCCCAAAGGGGATGTAATGTAACACTTAGCCAAATCCCACATCAACAAAGTACGCGAAAGATCTATGATTCATGTAACAAATTAACTTTAACTGACTAGACACGTTTTTGGGTGAAATGGACGAGTTCTTGTGAGAACTCTCAAAATTAAACGTACTCAGTGTGGATAAATGCATAGATGGTTGACCTTCCATGAAGTCATCACGATCCAAGTTAAAAGCAAAATCGCAGCGGACAATATTGTGATCAAGAAAAAGTTTCGGATGTTATAGTTTACAATCACTTTCCATGAGGGTCACTCAATTTGGAATAACATGTCTCTCTTGTCATCCATTTTACAAATTTATATAAGCAATTCAATAAAATTTAAGTGGCTAAATTACACGTTTGGTCACTCGAATTATACACATCTTTCACTTTTGCCACTCAAATTACTTTTATTTTTTATTCGCCACTAACTTTACGAATCGTTTCACCGTTAGTCACCAGCCGTCCAATTCCGTTAAAATTATCCTACGTGGCAGTCAACTAAACCCTTTGACCGTTAGTTTGATGACATGGCAATTAAAAATTTAAAAAATATTAATTTTCAAATTAAAAAACATTTAATCTTCCTTTCATTTCTTCCTCCCAGCAACACTTATCCTTGAATCCAATCGAACTCCTGATGGGACATTAATTCACATTCAGACATGAGGCAGGAAAATAGTTGTGTAGCCGCGGCGTGTGCTGCTCGAGATGGAAGACCGGACTACTCCGGCTAAGTTGGAAAGGAGAAGTTTAGAAAAGTGATGTACAAGGAGACTTCGAGGATTTGAGGAAGCTGTGGACGGCCGAAGCTTTGAGGAAGCCATGGATGGATCGAGCAGCAAACAAGAAGCAACGCCACCACTCTGACTCTGGTATATAGAAAAGAAGGTGATCGAGAAAGTGAGAATGAAAGGAATGGGGAGTAACCCCAGCCACTATATCGCTTTCCTCCTCTCCACCATACTCTATCTTCCTGCTTCCTCCACCACCGCCAAGGCAACCTCCGCCGGTGGCTCCGTGTGGCTGACCAGGATTAAGCTGCTCCGTCGACGGACACCCTCACCCTTGGCCACGTCTACAGGCTCATCATCAATCAAGGTTTCCCATCTTCCTCTGTTTCTTCTTCTTAACAGTGACTTAATTTCATCATTTCCGACTTATTGTGGTTCTAAATTTAATTTGGTGCTTTCTATTTTCTTAAAACTAATCAGTAGAGGTGATGAAAGGATTGTCGGCGAAGAAGCAGGCAAAGCTTGATAAAAACTATCCCCATTTCCTCAAACAAACAAAAAGGAACAAAATGTATGCTTTGATTCTCAAGTTTCGAAGAAGGAAAGGAAGAGAAGTGGAGGGGGAAATAGGAGCAGTGGAAGTTACCGCAACAATAGTGAAGGGTCATTTTCATTATTAATCTCAGCTGGTGGAGCAGGGAGTGGGAGTGGGAGCGGGAGATCATTAAGAACATGGCAACCATCACTTAACATCATCTTGGAATCAGCCGGCAACGGCAGCATCTAATCGCCTTATTCAATTATTAGTCCCCCCTTTCCCCTCCCCTCCCTTCTTCATCTCGAAAAGCACCACGCCGCCTCTACACAGTTATCTTCCTGCCTCAGATCTGGATGTGAATTGATGTTCCATTAGGAGTTGGATTTGATTTAATGATAAGTGTTGCTGGGAGGAAGAAATCGAAGGAAGATGAAATATTTTAAAATTAATATTTTTTTATTTTATAATTTCCACGTCATCAAACTAACGGTCAAAGGGTTTAGTTGACTGCCACGTAGGATGATTTTAACGGAATTAGACGGCCGGTGACTAACAGTGAAACAATTCGTAAAGTTAGTGGCAAAGAAGAAAGAAAAGTAATTTGGGTGGCAAAAATAAAAGATTTGTATAATTCGAATGACCAAACGTGTAATTTAGCCAAATTTAAGTATTGTACATGGTGTGTTTGTGAATGCAGTAAATTATTAAATTTTATTTAAATTGTATTTAAATAAAAGGGCTAATACCACTAGGAAACCCGAACTATTAACTTTGTATCATTTGTATCCTAAAGTATTCGATATGACAATTGTGTCCCAAACTATTTTTCCGTTATGGTTGACTGGCGTTGACCGGTAGTTTTAAACAGAAAGTCTAATAAGCGCTGATGTGGCATCTGACGTGGAAATTAAAAGGATAAAATAACAAAAATTGAAATCAAAAGAAAAGAAAAGAAAAATTAAAAAAGGGGAAATTTCGTTCACTTTCCCAAATTGGTTCTTCACCTTTTCCCCATAACGCTTTTGTATTCCGCAGAAAGAGAGAGAAAGAGAGAATTAGACAGGGGAAATCAGAGCGGAAGCTTGTGCTTCAATGTCGATTCACCGGAAGAAGTAGCCGATCGTCCACTTGCTACACGCGAATTCACTCAAGAGCAGACGCCTTCCCTCAAACCACGCTAGTCGACCATCCACCCGCTGCCGCTGCCGAGTTCGTAGGGTGAGCTCTGAGATTGCTACCCACAGCAAGGCTTTCCGGCGGCGTGGTTCCGATTGTTGATGAAATGCTTCAATGAGGATGGAGACGAGTGAACCCAGCTCTCACCGTGAGTGCCTCCCCAAATTTGCGCTTGAGAGAAGTTCTCGATTAATTTGCCGAGACGAACGACAAACGCTGTCGACAATGATAAGATCTGGAAGATCGATTCTGATGCCGCCAGCAAAATAGTAGCCCGCAGAATGGGTTGGACTGTTTCAAGCTCGATAAATCTTGAATGAAGAGAGGGTTGGACTGTTTCTAGCTCGATAAATCTTGAATCGAGAGATTTTTTTTTCTAGAATCGATTCTGGGAGGAGATGATTAAGGTCGGTGGGAAGAGAAGCGGAGGAAAGGGACGACAGAGGATGGACCCCAAATGAAAGGGTTTTGGGTTCCCGGAGAAGAAGATGCAGATGAATGACGAAGGAATCGACGCCTCCCATCTCACCGATTTTGGCGACTTGTATGGAAGGGAAAGAGGAGGCGAGGGCGGCGGTGGGAGTGGCGGAGAGGAAGACGAGAATGCCGCCGCCGTTTCCTTCTTCCTCGGCAGAATTTGATTAGAAGACGAAGAGGAAAGCTTATGAGGGTTTTTTATTTTTATTTTTTATAATACTCTTTTATTTTTTTATTTAATTTTTAATTAAAAATATGAGGTGTCATTGACGTGGCATCTACGTGGCTGCCACGTCAACAAAAGTCAATGTTAATGTTAACTTCCGTTTGGTCAACCGTTATCTATAACGGTCAACGAAATCGTTAGGACATAAATGACACACAACTATCATACATTGTGACACAAATGTCATATCGAATACTTTGATTTATAATCATACTTAAGTCATTTCGAAAACTTTGATTTATAATCGTCGATGATAACTCCAATCCGAAATAAATTTTTTTAGCATATGACTTAGAACCTCAATAGAGCTTGTTCAATCAACATGATATATAACAGATATTATTAATGTGAACATATGACACATTATAAAATTATTGCACTTGCGATTCCTCTTCATTTGAGGAATTTAAGGTAGAACATGATCTGAATGAATAAGAAGTCTTTTTTAAATAAATAAATAAATCTAACTACTCGATCAAGATTATACTCTGACATTTTGCTAAGTAATACTTTTTTATTTTATACACATATACATTACGAATAAGAATTGTTTCATTGCAACAAAATATAAAGTAATATAGTTTATTTTTGAAAGGTAATTGAATGTCAAATGTTTATTTTCTATCTTTTCATATATATTTTGTTTAATCGATAAAAATATTATTGTTTATCTGTATGTTTGTTTAATTTTTTCAGCAAAATGTAACTTATCTTTCCATTTTAGTAAAAATGAGTAGAAAATTTACTTCATAAGGTTTAATTATATATTTTTTCTTTAAATAAATGTGATATATGTCACTCTCTGTTTTATTATTTATATTTTTTTTACTTGATAAAAAATTTATTATTTATGTGTGTTTGGTTGAGTTTATCAAAATATAACTTATTATTAAAGAAAAAAGAATAAATGGATAAATAAAAAAGAATAATTTGATAAAAGAAATGGAAATATTAAAGAAGAGAGAGGTAGCTCCATAAATACAATAATAACTAATTTTTTTGTTTGTAAAAAAAAATTGTCCAACTTGACAAATTGTGGATCATCCAAGTGTTTATGTGACAAGAGATTGGTTTTGAATTGCCATAATATATAGTATAGATAGATAGATAGATAGATAACTAGCACCTTAGGGATAACCTCAGTTTTTCGAATGAGAATTAAATTGATTAATAAACGGACCGAGTCAATTAATTAGATAGTGAATTTCATGTCGTCTTCCCCAATTTTCTTATAGTTAATTTCCAACTTTCTTTCTATTTTAGTTATTGCGTTACATGTTTGATTTGTAACACAACCACAAATGTAATTAAGAAACCTTAAAATTCGTGAGGGTTCATTATAAAAACAATCAAATGGTTAAGTTCATGAATAAAAATTTGTGTTAATTTTTTATCAAGTAATTTTATTTTTATTAATTAACTTTTATTTGCCTACACACCTATCCAATAATTCTGGGTCATGTCATTCCTAGCCCATAACAACCTAAAATTAAATAACTTTAATAATTAAATAAATGTACATAACATTTCCATAATATGAGTATATGGAAACAAAGGCTGAAACACGTGAGCTTAAAGTGGGCTTAATGAAAGGGCGTTTAAGTGGGCTAAGTACTTTCTAGCACTGAAGGCCCATACGAATAAAGATGGAAGCCGAATCTTCACCTTCCAGGGTTGGCGAAAGGGCTGCTGAAGCTGTTTTACAATAAGCTGCTGTCGAAGCTTCTGTAGAAGAAAATTGCTGTTCTTCTTGGCTTGCATTAGCGTTCGACATTCCCGGCGACGGCAGGTGAATTATGGGGCCGTAGTACTGGGTTCTTCTATTCTGCAAGTATCACCGGCCGAGAAACGAAGTTTGTCCTTTTGGGCATTCGGGTTGGGCCACGTGTGGTAGGCCCAGTCATTGGAGAGAGAAAAAAAAACACAGTGCACTGAAAATAAATAAACAATTAACAAGTTACGTCGGATCCATTTCGTTTGGTGGGGGCCCAATCAATATGATTCAGTTTTCTGGGCCATTCGGCGCCTGGACTTACCCATGGTATTGGTCTCAATCCGGTTAGAAGTACGCACGCACCGATGCTGGAACCCGTAGAAATCCCCCGGTCATCCCTTCTCTCGATCTCCTGTCCTGTTCTTAATCTTCTGTGAATTCCCGCCTCTTTACTTTCTCTCTCCTGTTGTTAACCCCATCCATCTCTGCCCTATAAAAACAGCTCTAAGCTGAAAATTGCAACTAAATTCCATAATTTCACCCACACTCCGCCCTCAACAGAAGCCATGGCAGCCGTTTCTCTGATTCTGTAATTCTTCTCATAGCCACCGTCTCCGTTCCCGTTTACGCCCATTCCGCCAACTACTCCGCCGCCGCCGCCCAGCGAATTCCAGTCGCAGTTCATCTCCGTCCTCGCAGCACCTCCCGCCTCCCGGAGACCATCGCCTCAGCGGTGGTGGCTCTCGGATTCCGCTCGGTGCGGATTCTGGATCCAACGCCGAGCCTGACGCGGGCCTTGTCTTTCACCGAGGCCAGCGTGCTCCGAACCATCTGGTTCAAGAAATTAAATGGCGAAATCTTCTTCTCCCAACAACTCGAATTATTGGGAGCAACTGGTTCTTCACATGGTATCAGAGCCTAGAATCGAAAGGTCATGTGTTCGAATCTCCACGACCCCAATATAAACAGTTTATTAAAGCACAAGGTATGGTGGGCCTGTGCAAACTTCAAGCCCATGGGTTGGCTTTCGTTTGAGGGGGCGTATAAGAGTATGGTATAAGATCCAGCAGAACCTTTTCCCAACAACTCGAGTTATTGGGAGCAACTGGTTCTTCACGAAGCCGACGCGCAGTTCGTGGTTGCCGCAGTTCGCAAGGCACTGACAAAGCTCGCCATCGACCAAGCAGGATGTGTCAACCACCTTCAGCTTCACGACGCTGGTGATCGGCGCGTTTCCGCCATCCCGCTCCGTGTTCCAACTTTTGGAAGCCGACGATTCTCCTCTGCTGGTCACGGTGGACGCGTACCCACTCCACAAGACGCACTCCCAGATCCCTCTGGGAGTCTGGGACTGGTCCTCTTTCAGAACGGCGAGCACGACTACTACGACGATCCGGCCACCGGAGTTAGATATCGCAATTTGTTCGATATGGCTGTTAGACGCGGTACTCAACGCTCTAGCGGTGGCCGGGCACGGCGGAAGAATCCGTGTGGTCGTCGCCGGCACCGGTTGGCCGAGCCAAGGTGGCCCCAACGATCCCCACGCAACGCCGGCGAACGTGAGGCAGGAAAGCCATTCACCTTCATCAAGGAACTTGTTGACTCGCCTCAGTCAACTCTCAAGTGGGGGCTTCTTACTTGGGCAGCATTGAAAGTTGTAGGAAATCATCAATACTTCCACAACTAACTGCATCAACCAACTCTAACGGTCTACCACAACATTGAAGACTGCAGTTGGAGACAACACAATTAATTCACCATTCCTCGTTAAACACGTCACACACACACCAATGCTATCTGCTGCTCATCATTAGCCCTGTGCTGGTATTCAATTCTCTAGCTTAGGTTCACTTCTCTATCTTTCATTTTTCCTTTATAAGAGGCTTACTAGCCTATGTACAAATCAAGCAATCAATCTTATTCATCCAAAGGTTGCTTCACCAAATTCATCAAACGTGAAGTTGGACGTAAATTTTTCTCGTCAGACAACCAACATTGAGAAAATGCCCATCGTTGACATCGTGCCACCGGTTCGTAATTTCACGCTGCCTCCTCCGCCTAACCCTGTGTTGAGCTTGCTGCTGGCGCTGTTGGATGTGCTTGCATGGTTTGTGGTGCCGATTTGGTGTCATGCTCTGCTTGCGTTCTCCGTAGCATTCCTTGTCCACGCAGTACTCCAGCCGATTGTAGCTGATTTCAATCCAATGGCTATTTTCCATCCTGGTGAAGAGGTGGATGATCTCTGATCGATGAAGCAGGCGCGCGGTGGAAATCAAATCAAAGCCCATCATCAACACACTTACGTACACACCACACGTATCTTTTTCCTTTTTCTAGTTTTTGTTTTTGGGTTACGGCCGCTATATATGCCCGCCATACGGCCGGGAGTCAGTCAGCTGAGACATACGTGGTTTCTTGTTACGTTGTAGTAACCAACGAGCTGCTCAAAGAGCACCATTAATTGACTGGAACACAATTAATTCTAATCAAATTAGTCAATAGATGAGCCTTCCGTTCCGTTGTTGTTGATCTTTTGGGAATACATACAAGTCCAAACGCACCTTTCTTAAATCGTTTGAAGACCCAGTTTGAGAATATACCAGCTAATTAATAGAACGCAGACTTCAAAAGATCTTTGCTACGCCTAGCTACATACCCCAAAAATAAGAGATATCCTCACGATCGATGACTTAAAAGTTAAAACTTCCGGAGAACAATTAAGAAGCAAATGAATGGAAATGGTGAAATTATTATCGGAAGATAGATAGGAAGAATATTTGAGGCAGATAGCTGATCCACGTAGCTAGCTAGGTACGTACAATCATCGATCGCGGGATAAATGGTTTTCCCGTCGAATGGTACAATCATCATCGCGGCACGGGATAAATGGTTTTTCCGGTCGAGCTAGCGATTAAGGAACTAGCTAGCTAGTTGTTTGAAATGATTGTTGTTATGATACCCTATTCAGTAGGATCCCTTAAGAATGGTTTTGGATGTAACATTTCAAAAACTGAGCCAATTCGGGGTGAATGTCTTATTTTAAAAAACAAGGTTATTAAATCACCTTATATTAATTATCTTAGTTGACTTGTTATTTGGCATGATGCAATTATCCTACTTGTTTTGGTAGCTAGTCAATTCTGGATTTCATTGAAAATATTGAGAGTTTAAAGGCATTAATTGGAATCTCATTCTAATTTTCGCTCTTATTCATCCTTGTCCATTTTGGATTGTTGCTTGCTTCAGAGAGTGTATCGATCGATGACTAACTTATGATTACATTTGCGTTGAGTAAAATATATCAATCAGAAATAACGTGAACAAGAGAAGATAGAATTTACGTGGTATCCCAATAGAGAAGGATTGGAATTTTGTGAGTTTTCTTAGCGCCTAGCTATAAAATCCCAAAAACTCAATCTGGGCCTTCAAAAGGAGTATATTGAGAGCGCTTGTCCGGATAATAACCCCATCCGCAGACTAACATAATTTGCGAAATCTTAGCAGCTGGGAGTCATCTCCGTGCACTCTTAGATCCGTCTCCTCTTGCGTCCGTTTTGGGTGTTTAACACAATGAAACTGACCGAGGACAATAATATATGTTGAGGATCTTGGCCGTACTGTGCGTGTACTATCCTATCATTGTTGCCACAACTGAAACATCTATCAGTTTAATTTACAGTTGAGAAGTTGATCTCCTCTTGTAATTAAGAGGGTGCTAAAGTATAGGGTCAAAATTAAAGAACAGGCATGCATGCATCAGCTTGATTAAAGAGCTAGCCAACAAACAAGATAGTAGATACCACCCTGGATTCTCTTTCCTGGATTTGCAGTAAACCCCTGTGATTACACTGTTCCTTCTTCATCCTGCCCTACGATATACTAGATAAATGCAGATTGAGGAGCGCAACGCAAAATTAGCTCTCACAAAGCATGCATGGAAAGTGAAGGAGGAAAGAAAAACCCAGCTAATTAACCATCTCTTATGCCCTGTTAGTCTTAGCTCAACCAACTCCAACTCTTTCGTGGTATCGACTTTAGTTTACTAGTCTACCAGTGTTCTTGGTCTCCCTCAAATATAATGCCTTGTTTACTCTGATGAACTTAATTAAGAAACACCGATTCTACAAGTGTTCTTTCCCCTTGGAATTCGAACACTTGCTTTTAAAGTAATACATATATCATATATGCAGTGTAGCCTCGAATCTCGATAGATTATTGATACAACATGTACTTGTTTGGATATTCAACTTTAAACCCGGCCATTATCACTCACTTATTACAATTCTGTATTCTCCCATCTTATTGTCGACAAACAAACAAATTAATATTACATAATCCACCTACTTGTTTAGATGAAATCAACTTTTGATCCATCATTACTTAATTTTTGAATCATCTGGATTTATAATATCTCGTACGTAAATGCGTGTCCTTTACCTAAATTTGTTATTTTATAACCGGGTCTCTTTTCCCGTGGTAGAAAACCTAACTAGCAAGGTTGTTTTATGATAGTTAGATTTACAAATTGTTGTTATTAAGTGTAACGGCTTCCTCCCCTTGGTAGAAAACCTAACTAGCAAGGTTGTTTTCAGCACCCTTTTTGATCAAATGAAAAATTCGATTCATAAAAAAAAATTGAGCAAGAATACTATAGCTCCAAATAATCTACTTTGGAACCATAAAATAATTAGAATGTTTAAATTAATATATTAGTGTGATCGAGCCGACATATTGAATGTTTGTATTTGGTGTTGTATCATCAATAAGCATATGGATTCTTCTAATCCAACAAAGTTCTAAGTTTGTCGTTGTAGAAATTATTTAGTTAATTGAGGTTGTATTTTTCGTATGAACTAGTATTATAAATTTAACATAAAATAGTTTTCGAATAATAGATAATACTTATTCTGATTTTGATAATACTTATCCATCATTCCAAAACAAAAATTATAGAACCTTGTTCTCCCAAGTGTAATAGTAAGTAGTAACTACGAAGACCCTTGTTTTACCTTTGAAGCTACGATTACAAACAAAACTAAGACGATGAAGCGTTTTTTTAATTCCAATTGTAAAAGCTGAACCTTTTATTCTCATCACAATTAACAGCGAAGATGGGAAGGAACAAAGAGGTAAAAATCTGCAGCTGACATTATGGGCTAGTAGTGGCAACACTTGCAAATATATTTGAGTTGGGCTTTTTCTTTATGAGCCCGAAAAATGAAAACGGGTTCAAAACTACAACACCGACGCGAAGTATATTGTTTTCCCACGCGCCTCGCAAACCCACACTCCCACAGCACAAGAGCAACTCCAGTCTCCAATTCTCTATTGGAATTGCAATTACAATTGCATCTTTGCGAGTTTGCATATAATGTAATTATGGAATGCAAGTCACATTATTTTTTTATTATTAAATTATTTATTAATTTTATTATTTGAGTGTTTATGTTTCAATAAATTAAATAAAAAAATTAATTACAATTATAAATTAATTGCATTAATATGATACAATGTATGAAAGATGAGTTGGATTAAAAAAAATGAAGTAACAATAAAAATGAAGATGCTCTAACTGATCCGACCCGAATCCCCCGTTGCCCCGACCTTAATTCACTTACCTCGCTCTCCCTCTTCTTTCCCGCCCAACTCCCGGCCAGCGATGCCGACGTCATCATCCGAATCGAGCGGTTAGTAGCTCATCCGCCATCGCCGCCTTATAAGCTCAGACTCAAAAGCACGCTCTCGAGTCTCGACTGCGCATAACAGAATCTCATTTCGCCCACAACAAACTCCCACCCTCTAGAATTCTCTCCCAAATTCTCACTCTCCGCAGAGATTCCGAGCCAAGAACCGCCATGGATGCTCTGCTGAAGCTTTTCCACTTCCTCCTGCTCTCTCTTTCCTCCACCCTCTCCGCTCCAAGCACATCCTCCGCCTCCGTAATCGGCGTCACTTACACTTCTCCTCTCCCCTCGCCGCCATCCTCCTCAACCGATGGCAATTCGTCGTTGCCGACTCCTCCGCCACAGCAGCGCGCCCATCCAGAGAAGATCGTCTCCGCCGTCTCCGATCTCCGCTTCGGCGCCGTCCGCCTCACGCATCCCGATCCCAACCTCGTCAGAGCCTTCGCCTTCACCAACACCTCCCTGCTTCTTTCAATTCCCAACGGCCTCCTCCCCCCGCTGGCTTCCAATCGCACTCTGGCCGTCAACTGGCTCCGCGCCCACGTCCTCCCTTTCTATCCGCGCTCCAAGATCGCAACAATCTCCGTCGGAGAAGACGCAGTCGCCGCCCCGCAGATCTCGTTCCTGCTGCCTGCCATACGCAACGTCCACCTCGCGCTCAGAGACATCGGAATCAGATCGATCTCCGTCTCCACGACATTTTCCTTCATCAAAATCGTGACGACGGCGTTCCCTCCCTCGGCGGCCACTTTCCAGGAGCCGATCGGCGAGGCGGTGATTCGGCCGCTGCTCCAGTTCTTGGAAGACACCAACTCTTCCTTCTTGGTGAATCTTTACCCGTACAACATGTACAGATTGCACTTTCAGATCCCGCTCGGATTGGCTCTGTTTCAGGGAGGCAATTTCAATTTCCGCGACGATTTGGCCACTGGAGTCCGGTACCTCAATCTGTTCGATATGATGGTGGATGCTGTCGTCACTTCCATGGCGGTCGCCGGCCACGAGAACATCCCCTTGGTCGTTGCCGAGACGGGATGGCCAAGCTCGGCAGTAGACAGCGCCGCCGCCGACGCCGACGCGAATCCGGCGTACGCTGAGTTGTACTTGAAGTCGTTGGTGGCACACTTGATCTCCGGCAAGGGAACGCCGCTGAGGAAAGAAGGGGTGGCGCAGGCCTACATCTACGAGCTGGTTGAATCCGATCCGAAGCAGCAGCTGCCGCTGCAGCAGGGGGCGCACAATTGGGGCATTCTACACCCAAACATGAGTAAGAAGTATCACTTCGACTTCTCCTCTGCCTCTAGGAACAACACCATTCCTTTGGGGAGATTGCTTCTTCTGTCCACAGTTGTGCTCGCATCTTTGTTGTTCCAGTAGATCTAAGAATGGTGTCCGAACAACCCTGAAATCAAATCGGGGGATTGATCCAATGTTGGATTGAACTTTCATAGGGTTCTAGATGGAATCAGATTGAGGAATTCCCCTCATGTAACTACAGTTTTGTAATGATGAATAATAATGACGATTAGCTCCCCTGAATTGGTTTGTTTCATCTGAGTTCCGAATTCTGATTAGCAGAGAATTAGTGATAGTGGTTAACTCTAGTTGAATTAGTTGCATGATTAATTGGTTGATGGAAAGATGGTTGTTTTACAGTTTACACAGATAATGGTTAACTCAAATTTAACTAAATCAATTAATTAATAATCAAAACTATTTGGATCACTGTGCTTTTGGGGGGTTTGGGCTTCTGAGCACGTTGGGCTGCTTGTTTTGGGCCTAGAAAAGAGTCTTCTACCTGACTACCTGTCAGCGTAAGAAAAGGGACGATCTTCTTCCATAGACGATCCCCAGTTCCCACCACAATCCCACCCAAGCCCCAGGGGTCAATTTCAGTGCTTGTGTTTGCGAAAGATTACAGTACATAGAAAACTCGGTGGCTAAAAGCAGAGTTCTTCAGTGAAATGGGGCTCCGCCGGGTTGCATTTGCAGGTAGGTCTATGGCTACTTTCTGCAATTACCCTCCACCAAGTCCTCAATTATCGTATAGCGTTTAATTTCAGTTATCGGGGCGCAAAATTAACTGGGATTTGCTCAACTTTGCATTATGTCTTAAGTAATCGCTTGGGGGGAATCACTTTTACTGGGCCGGTTGTTTCAATTCGTCTCTTTTTTCTGGGTTTGCTGCGGAGACGTCTGTTAACCTATTGAGTTGCTTATTACAGTAGTGGTGGTGATGTGATGCGAGCCAAGGAGAACTAAGTACTGCTAAATGTCGTCCGAATTGATGGGAAAACCAAAAGTACACTGGACTCCTGAAGTCCATAGAGTATTCGTGGATGCTTGTCTGGATCAGACTTTGAAGGGTAATAGACCCTCTACGTGTTTCACCAAGTATGGATGGGAGTATATATTACAGGCATTGAACAGAATAGATGGGTTGCATATTGACAAAAAGCAGTTGACAAACCACTGGGATATCACAAAGGAGCATTGGAAAACCTGGTGCAAGTTAGTTAACACTAGAATGATGAAATGGAACCCTGAAACTGGTTCGTTCGGGGCAACTGATGCAGATTGGAGCTACTATTTGAGGGTATGTTTGCTGTTATTGTTAGTATTTGGTTTCTGTTTTGAGTTGCTTAGTTAGTGAGCACGTTTTCTGTTGAATGTCTGTAGGTGCACCCTGAAGCTGGAATATTTCGGTTCAAACCACTTCAACATCGGGAAAAGCTGGAAATCGTCTTTGATTTTATGAACCTGGAAGATGGTAGGGAAACTCTGTCTCTAGAATGTCCAGAGGATATGAAAACCAACCACCTCTTTGAAGATGCTTCGGATAGTGGTTTTGCTTTTTACTATAACGATGGAAGGGCAACTGCAGCAAGTGAACAGAGCATGTCTGGCAGTACCTCAGTTAGATCAAGAAAGCCACACTTCTCCTGGACTTCTTCTGAAGAATCCCACAGAACTTTCATTGATCTGTGTTTGGAGCAAGTTTCGGTTGGTAATAAACGTGGATCTCATTTGTCCAAGGAGGGATGGATAAACCTTATTGATTCATTCTACACAAGGACTGGTGTCATGCTAAACAAGGTCCAGTTCAAGAACCATTGGGATTCTGTGAAGAAGCAGTGGAGGATTTGGTCTAAGCTGGTTGCCACTAGTTACATGAAATGGGATCCAGTTGCCCAGAAATTTGGTGCTACTGAAAGGGAATGGAATAACTACATCCATGTATGTAAAATCTATCATAAAAGGTTCAGTTATATGTCACTGATTGATAATATAATATCATCATTGCTTGCTCTCTCTTGTAGGAATACCCAGAAGCTGCCCAATTTCGGCTCAAGGTACTCCAATTTGCTGACAAATTAGACCTACTCTTCGAGGGAACAACAGTTGTTGAAGACTACAATGTTGAACCACTTAGTCAGCGCAGAAGGCTCGACCATGATGATCCAACGAGAAAATACTGTGAATCAAGTCCACTTATAATGCAGCAATATGATGTAGGTTTTGTGAAAACTCAGACAGCAGAATCCAGACCAAGTTACAGCATTGGGGACTGCATTGAACGTCTCGATGGGATGAAAGAGATAGAGCAAGGGAGTGAACTCTATTTATTCGCATTGGATATGTTCATGAAGAAAGAGTACAGAGAAATCTTTCTTGAGTTGAAAAACCCTAGTGTTCGGATTGCGTGGTTGAGGAGGCTGGTGCTACGAGCTCGTTCTTTTCACCATTAGACTGAATCTTGTTTATGTAGCAAACAATTCCTGCAGTTGATGATCTTTCGATAAAGCAACTATCGATCAACTTATCTATCTAATATATTAACAGCATTTCTCGCATTTACAACAGAATTTCCAAGCTGGGAGCTACAACAATTCACAAATGCAGATTGGTAACCAGGATGCTAATTAATAGGGAATCAGTCACTGTGTCAAAGCGGTCTCTTCTGGCAGCTCTGTTGAGATCCTGAAATCTTGAAAGTAGTCATTGTAGTAGTATACTGGGTTTGGAAGCTTGAAGACACGTGTTCCTGAACCTGAAGGACCTTTAGTCAGAGCATCCATCTGGCTGCTGATAATTGCTGCAACCCGAATGCCTCTCGTCTCCATAAGAACTCTTTGTCTTGATATGTATTCAGTTGTAGAATGCTCCATTTCATCATCTGGTCTGGAAAATGAGGGATGATCCATCATCGGAGGCGCATGCCAAGTATCAAAATCCAAATTCTAGAATGATTTTTTTAGTGTTGAATTGTTGTTCGATAGAGATGAAAACAAATTCTGTGTCAGCCTACCTCAGAACCAATGAGGACCAACCTCCATATCCTGCAGAAACGAGTTGCTCCTCAGTGCCATTTCTTTGCTTCTCTGGATTTCTAGATACCAAAACTAGCGACCATCCACTAGCTTGAAGTTTCTTGTACACTCTCAGAAGCAGCACTTGTTGCCGAAACTGTCTGCAAAACAAGGAACAGGCATATTGCCATAGTGAATGAAAGGTGGTCCAAGAAAAAACTACTTCTTGCTTTCAAGAAATCAAGGTTTGAGGACAAATCCCAGGAGAAGGGTTACTTGGAGTTGAAGATAATGCTGTTGTCTATGTCAATCAACACCACAGCATCTTGACCATTATCATCAGAAGGTTTGACTCCATCGAAGTATCCCTCGACAACCCAGAGACTAGCCGTCAAGTCTCTCTCATATTCACCACCTGCGACTGGCTGATTGTGGTGATCAACAATACGATCCCAGCACATTGGAGGTAATAAGTCTGGTGATTTGAGGTTGTTGAGCTCTGCAAAGCTTCTGCAGTTGTGGTAACTCTTCAAAAAGCTAGTAGTGGGCCGTTGTTGTAGCGTCATCTGCTCGATGACTCCTTTGCTCCTGTTCTCGCAGGATTGGAGCATTACTGTCAGTAGAATGAGCAGGCTGATCATCAACACTCCTACCGTGACAAGGAGAGCAATGAACATTGTTGCAGCGAATGATGTCATGTAGAATCCCGACTCCATCACATATCGGCTTCTCATCTCTTCTGGATCAAAACAGCCCACCAAGAACAACAACCAAAGAAAACACAAGAGCCTCAACCGATCCGTATAATATATGCAGATACAAAATGCAGATCAATTCCATGCTGCTTTGAAGAAAAGGTGGTTGGTTACCAGAATCTTCCCCACTGGAGAGGCTGCCAGCAGAGAACTCCCTGTCCATTTGGTGTGCATATGCTGACATTTTTCTTTAGCTAAGAGGACGAAACAAGTCAAATTGTCCAATTTCCTTCCAGATGGCTCAAGGGCATCCTGTGAAAACACAACACACCATTTCAAACACATAAGATCAATGAAGCAACGAAACCTGAGAGAGCAGGGAATGAGAATTGAGAAGAGACAAAACAACATACAAGCAGAGGAAGAAGGTGACGATGATTCAACCATGATACCACCACCAGCTACAGGAAAAGGCCTTCCTGCATCTCTCTACTTGTTGCCTCGCTGATCTATTCATATTCCCCAGCAGCAAAAGAGGAAGACGGGAAAAGAAAGCCCAAAGGTTGAATCTTTGTATTCTCTCTGTTCAAAACACAGAGAAGAAGATGTACCATGTACGATGATGATCCGCTCCAGCTGGAAATCTCCAGAGTCTTGTAGCAAAATCGGAGAAGTGGGCAGCCAGAAAAAACAGCCCGATTCAAGGAAGTCAAATATTTCAAGAGAGAGAGAGAGAGAGAGAGAGAGAGGGAGGGAGGGAGAGTCAAAAGCCGGAGTGAGTGAAGGCGTGGAGGGAAGAGAGAGGCAGAGTTAATAATGCTGTCTGGGCCGGGGTTGCAAATGGCTGCTATTAAATTGATGGAACTAGGATTGCAGATCATGAAGATGTAAAAGATTCCAGCACCATGGATGGTTTAATGGAGAAAGAGACCAAGGAGGAACGTGGACATGGCCCCACCACGAAGGTGACTTTGGGAGAGCAGAGGAAGTTTCGCGGGGAATCACTCTTCCTCCCTGCGAGCTGGATTGGTTTGAGACAGTTACTTTCTTTGTTTTGGATTTAGACGGTTAAGTGTTAGGTGTGTCTCAGCATTTGAAAAATTATCTTGTTTTGGTGATTAAATCGATAAGCATTATTGGGAAGGAAGGTTTGGGAAACCTCCAGCTAAAAGTGGGGTCATCGTCGTCGGATAACGACTAATAGCAGCCAACTGACACAACTCACTCTAATCATCATCTTCTAAAACATTCTTTTAGGTTTTCTTTTCTTTTTACCTGTCAATTTCCTGGCTAAATTATTTTTCATGTCAGTTTCACACAAGTTATATAGAGGAGTAAATTCTCTCTTTTTCATTGGTTAATCAAAACACTATATCGAAAACTAACAAGCGTAGAGATAGTTAGGGATGAATGGTGAACCGTGAAACCTAATTAGATCCGTCCAATTATAATTTATTTAATACGTGTTTGGGTGGGATATGTTCGATGAATGTGAGCCTTTTTGACCCACAAAATCATCTAATATACTTTGTTATTAATTTACATTTTGTAATAATACACCTCTTTTATGTGTGTCAGATTGTCAAATTGTGATTGATTCAAAATCAAATGACAATTATTTTTCAAAAATTATGTTTGGCTTATAGCATAAATTATATGTTGATCCTTTAAAAATATACTAGCTATCCATCCATAAGATATTTCTTGTTCACAAATGGAGATAATTGATGATAGAACATAGATTATGCAATAAATTATGCATAGTGATTATCAATTTTCTTGAATTCTATATTCAATTAGCTTGCTTTCCATAATTACTTTAGTATATGGATTTTTTACTGAACAAAATCGCCAAACCCACTGAGAAATTAAGACAAGCAAATGGGAGATCAACGAAACTCTTATGAGCTTAGAGATAGAGGTAGCTATACGGTTCAGTCCGGTTTAATTCTCATAAATTAATTCGGACCGGTTTTTTCAGGAATATAATGACCAAAGATTAGATTGAATACAGTTTGATTTTGATCCGCTCTGGTCTTGACTTGGTCCAGTTTCAATTTGGTCTTGATTTCAGATTGAGCTTGCGGGAATGGGGATTTGAGTGACATGAGGCCTCAAAGGGTGAGGAGTTGGTTAAGTTTTTGTTGTTGGGCTCTCTTATCCGATCTTTATCCTGTTTTCGATCCGGTCCTAAACGGTATTTTTTTTATCTAAAATCTAAGTCCGGAAATAATATTGAATTGTTTGTTATCCGTCCCGATTCGATCTCGATCCAGATGATACTATCCAATTTAAGATAAACCAAAAAGTCCGAACCAAATAGCCCGCCCTACTTAGAGATGTGCTACAAACCGCAGCAATTTGTCTGCACTACAAGTCTACAACCGGCTTACATGAAAGCCCAATCTTTTGAACGATTCGAACAGTATTGAGCTTAAATCCAAGCGCAGAGAGCCTAGCCTAGCCCAGCCCAGCCCAATCTAAACCTAACCGTAGCCCACACAATTCACCAGTGGGACCACCATGGGAAACCAAATTAGGTTTTTTAGCTTGACGGCAACGCGGCAACAGCAGAGTTCGCGCCGCCGGGAGGGTAAGGGTAAAAGAAAAAGAAGCGGCAAACAATTCTAACATTCTACACTCTACTCTTGAGCTCGAGCTATCTATCCCTTCCTTTCTGTTTTCCATCAATGGTGATCGGCACTTCTTCGAGGGTTTTCAACGGCAGCAGCCATCTCTCGTCGTTGGCTCCACCGACATCTCCGGGACACCGAAAACCAAGTTCGATTTTCCCTTCGAATGCTTTCCTCCGCTTCTCTTCTCCCTCTCCTCGCCGATATTGCTCTTGCAGCATCTCTGAGCCGAAGGTATATTACCCTCCTTAATCACCAGTTAGCTTATCGTCTTTTATTTTCCTCAATTCTGAGTCTTGTTTGTTCATTCTTGGTGTTGAAGATGAGGAAAGACGACGCCCGAGTGTTCGAGCTCTCGAATTTGACGGCCTTGTCGCCGTTGGACGGGCGGTACTGGAGTAAAGTGAAGGACTTGTCTCCATACATGAGCGAATATGGTCTCATATACTACCGCGTACTTGTTGAGGTGCTTTTTTTCTCATAATTTTTCTAAGCTTTTGAAGTTGATCGATACTTAATGATTTGGGTGAATGTTAATATTGTTTAGTTCTGTTTCAGATTAAATGGTTGCTGAAGCTTTCACAGATTCCTGAAATCTCGGAGGTCCCTGAGTTTAGCCAGGATGCTCACTCGTTTTTGGAAGCAGTGATCGATGGGTTTAGTGTGGACGATGCTATGCAAGTTAAAAACATCGAGAGAACGACCAACCATGATGTGAAAGCTGTGGAGTACTTCTTAAAGGAGAAATGTGGATCACATCCTGAGATTGCTAAGGTGGAATATGGTTGCCGTCGAGGAATTATTTTGTTGTTTGCATCTGTGGTGGGTACTTGGGTTACGTCTGTTTTAACATAATTTTACATGGCAGGTGTCAGAGTTTTTCCACTTTGCTTGCACCTCGGAGGATATAAACAATCTTGCACATGGATTGATGCTGAAAGAGGCATTAAGTGGTGTCATTTACCCTGCCATGGACGAATTGATCAAAGAGATATCTAGCATGGCTGAACGATATGCTTCGATTCCTATGCTTTCTCGCACTCATGGACAGGTATAAGACATGAAGTGGTAGCTTGTTTTCTGTCATGGATTAGCTTCTTGTTTGTTTTAACTCTATTGAATTTTATCGTTCCAAGCTTGAGTACCTCTTTGTTATTTGTGTCCTGTAGCCAGCGTCACCAACAACATTGGGAAAGGAAATGGCTGTGTTTGCTGCTCGGTTGAGCGATCAAAGGCAAGAAATTTCTCAAGTTAAGATAAAAGGAAAGTTTGCTGGTGCAGTTGGAAACTACAATGCTCATATTAGTGCATATCCCGACATTGACTGGCCTCAGATTTCCAAAGAGTTTGTTGAATCTCTTGGGTTGTTTTTCAATCCATATGTTACTCAGGTATTCAATGAAAGAAATACTGGGATCTCTAGAGTGTCTCTTTTGACTTGCTTCTAGGATGTAAAATTTTACTTATCTTTTCCTTTTCTTTCCTTGCAGATTGAGCCACATGATTATATGGCTAGGCTTTTCTATGGAATCACTTTGTTCAATACAATATTGATTGGTTTTGATAGGGATATCTGGGGGTATATATCCAACGTATACTTCAAGCAGGTAAAGAAGCTTTTGTCTTTTTACTTGACAATTTAGTTACTTCCCTTTGGATCATATAACTGATCAGTGTTCTATACTAAAATCAAGCAGATAACAAAAGCTGGTGAGATTGGGTCGTCAACTATGCCTCACAAAGTAAACCCCATTGACTTTGAAAACAGCGAAGGTAATCTTGGGAAAGCTAATGGAAACTTATCTCATCTAAGTGAGAAGTTGCCCATTTCACGTTTTCAGGTAACACCTAGTGCATTTCCATTGGTGAACTCATGCACTGTTTTCTTTATGTAATCGTTTGTATATTGCCGTGTCATTATTATCTAAGGACAGAATAATAACATCCTAATTCTCTATACAAATTGAGAACATGATATAGGTATTCATTAAGAGCGAACCTTCTCCAAGCTTCAAACAGGCGTTAGCTGCTCTGCTTTTGTTTTCTGTTACACTAGCCTTAGCATTTACCTTACATGCTTCTTGTTCTTTTGCAGCGGGACTTGACCGATTCAACTGTTCTGAGAAACATGGGTGAAGGCCTGGGACATTCTCTTTTGGCCTACAAGAGTACATTGCAGGGTATTGGAAAACTTCAGGTATGCATTGAGAATTGAGATGACTGGCCTCAATATCAAAACATTCATAATGTCATTTGCTATCTAGCTCTAGATGTGGCCCAGAAAATTTTCTCGTTTATGGGCGCTGCTTGTGAATTCAAAGGTTCCAACATATTTGTTTAGGAAAAGCTATCCATTTGATGAGTGCCTTTGTTTGGTTAGGTTAATGAAGCTCGTTTGGCTAGGGACTTGGACCAGTGGTGGGAGGTGCTTGCAGAACCCATACAGACAGTATGAAACTTCTATATACTTTCTCTAAGCTTACTTCATTTATCTTATGCACAGCCAAAATTTCACGATTACTGATGACTTGAGCTGCACTATGCATTTCAAATTTCTCTATCCACTGCTTGAATCTTTGCAGGTGATGCGACGATATGGTGTACCAGAGCCATACGAGAAGCTGAAAGAGCTGACAAGGGGAAGAGATGTTACGAAGGATAGCATAAGAGAGTTCATCGAAGGCCTGGAGCTGCCTGAAGAAGCTAAATCGTACCTGCTGGAGTTGACACCCCACAACTACATTGGAGCAGCTGCCGAACTGGCCAGGACTGTTGGTCTTCCTGACAATGTGGTGATTGGGGTCAGAGCTTTAAACTGGCTGAATATGGAAAACTGTGCTATGGGAATGAGCAAACCGTGTGATTGATGGCCTGGCTAGATGATGTCATACCCTGTTATGCAGATGCTGTGACTGAAATTGAATTAGTTAAATCCACATGCAGGTTAGAGGAGTCAGAGCTACTCCATAACCGATTTCACCAAGCTATAAAGCAGGACTCATGGGGTGAATCGGAAGTTCGAACTCAATTTTGATTCTCGTGGCTTGCAGTCAAGTGTACTAAGGCAGCGAAGGATGAATAACAATATCTTGTGGCAAAGTTCTGCATTTGTATATGTAAGATTACGTGGGGAGTTTGCTTCAACTTGATTTTGATATCTGTTACTGTAGATTCTTGGAAGCAAAAAATGCAGGATTTGGCTGATAACCTTATTGTTCAGATTTGTTTTGGTTGAAACGTATTTATGAAGCGTATGGGGTTATGATAACTGATAATGGCAAGTTGATTGGCACATGGCCCAAGAAGATACCAGAATGCAGTTAGCTGCTAATGAACTAAATGCCATGCATTCTTTCTTACGTAATGCAGGCTGACCCTGAAGTGGAAACGCATCATATAGACCAGCGAAAACGTAAATATGGGTGTGTTCGTTAATACTGGAATTAGGGAAGGGGCACAATTGCATTATCTCTATGAGGAAGGGGTTAAAGCAAGCAGAGCCACAAATACATTGAGCGATGGCAGTTTAAGCTGCCCCAGTCCGCGCTATCCGTTCATCACATTCACAACCCCATCCATCATCCACGTGTCATTACACAGTGAACTGCTTATCTATCTCCTCCCCCCTCCCCCAACAAACCAACTTGCGGAGCAACTGAAAGAAGCCAAAAGCACTTTGAGCCCAGCCACAGACAGATTAAGTTTCCTTCCAGTTCTGTTTTTGGGGAACTTTACTGAAGTTTTTGCAGAGATTTCCAATCTAGAATGGAGACTGGTATAGCTTACTGTGGTCGTGGGGTATCCATGCCTTCACAGCATTCGAAATCTTTGGTCTCTCCTTCATCCATCTCCCCTTCCTTCAGCTCCAGGGTACTTTTACTTGCCTTTAGTCAGCTAAGCTCTTTCATTGCGTGGAAACTCATTAGCTGCTTTTGACTGATGGTGTTATTACTTTCATGCAGAGCCTGAAGTCAAGCTCACTGTTTGGAGAAGCTTTGAAGTTGGTTCCAAGATCATCATCATCATTTAAGGTTTCCAAGGCAAAGAGCACTTCTCTTATCACCAGAAGTGAGATTGGTGATAGTCTGGTAAGGCAAAAGACCAGCCAATTGGGGTTAAAGTTTCTTGCTCTTTTGATCAAGGAACCTGAAAAAAACATCTTTTGTTTGTGTGAACAGGAAGAGTTTTTGAAGAAGGCAACAACAGACAAGGGACTGATGAGGGTACTGACTTGCATGGGAGAGGCAATAAGGACAATTGGATACAAAGTTAGGACTGCTTCTTGTGGAGGAACTGCCTGTGTCAACTCCTTTGGAGATGAGCAGCTTGCTGTTGATATGCTTGCTGACAAGTTGCTCTTTGAGGTCACTACTTATTCTGAACAATAGTTACCAATTTTTGGATTGCTGAGACTTCAAAGATCCTATCTTTTCCGTTTGCTTCTCATCATTATTATATGTAGGCCTTGGAGCACTCTCACTTCTGTAAATATGCTTGCTCTGAGGAAGTCCCTGAGCTTCAAGACATGGGAGGACCTGTTGAAGGTATCTAACTTCTGCATTATTAAGGGTTTCTTTTAAACTACTTACAAACTACAATCTAGATTGATTCGATTTTCGACGGTATCAAACAGGTGGGTTCAGTGTTGCCTTTGATCCACTGGATGGATCCAGCATTGTGGACACCAATTTTGCAGTTGGCACCATCTTTGGAGTGTGGCCAGGAGATAAGCTAACTGGGGTTACAGGAGGAGATCAAGTGGCTGCCGCCATGGGGGTTTATGGTCCTCGAACTACATATGTTCTTGCAATCAAGGGTTTCCCTGGCACTCATGAGTTCCTCCTTCTGGATGAAGGTTTGCTTTGTTGGCTTCCTTCTCAATGTTTTCGATTCTCAAAATTAATGGCAGCTTTCTCAAAGTTCATGATCACTGTTACAGGAAAATGGCAGCATGTGAAGGAGACCACCGATATCGGTGAAGGCAAACTATTCTCACCTGGCAACTTGAGAGCAACATTTGACAATCCTGATTATGACAAGGTTTCTCCTCATTTTATTCTGCAGCCATGAAATGACATTTCTGATTTGTGTATTTCATCAAAAACTTTTTTCTGTTTCATTTGAAAATTGCAGCTGATCAACTACTATGTCAAGGAGAAGTACACCTTGAGATACACAGGAGGAATGGTGCCGGATGTTAATCAGATCATTGTGAAAGAAAAGGGCATCTTCACCAACGTCATATCGCCAACTACCAAGGCGAAGCTGAGGTTGCTGTTCGAGGTAGCTCCACTAGGGCTCTTGATTGAGAATGCTGGAGGTTACAGTAGCGACGGCCACCAATCTATTCTAGACAAGGAGATCAAGGAACTCGATGAAAGAACTCAAGTTGCTTACGGGTCCAAAGAGGAGATAATCCGGTTTGAAGAAACTCTATACGGGAAGTCGAGGCTCAAGGAGGCTGGTGGTGTACCTGTTGGAGCTGCTGCTTAAAACATTCCAATACCACTGCTAGCTGCTCCTGCTTTGTCGAGCAAGAAATTTTAAACTATCTTGTACACAACTTGTCTCAATAACTAGCATATCAGCCAGATCCCATGTCGCAGATGGAACTGAAAGTCTGAAAATGGTTTCACATATGATGGATGTGTAATGCAGTAATGATCTGGTATTTTGTCCTTCTGCTATGATTCATTGGCTTAAACATAGAGATCTATATGCCAAAGGGCATGCCTTACATCTATCTGACAAATGAAGAGCTGACCAGGAAGGCAAGAAAATCATACCACATGGCTCATATACAAATCCAAATGGTGCTCTCTGAAACAAGATTCCAATAGCATTGGATTTTCCACCATTTCGACATATACCATTATGTTATTATCAAACCATATGCTGCTTTTATCAGCATAAACTATGTACGTCCTTGAGCAAATCAATATTTTCTGTCTGCTAGCAACCTCAAGTTCCATCCCCCATAAGGATTACCTGCCAAGGCCAGGGAGTGCCTCAGCCAGAAACACAGAGACAGCAAATTGCAGTACAATATCAGATGAGGGACAAGACAGCCATGGTAATGTTCTTTCTTCTTGACAAACCTTGGCTACTGCAAACAATTATTTCATATTTTCCCTGACCACAGGAACTCGATTCCGAACACTTGAAATGGCGTGGTAGTGTGAGAGCAATCGTGGATGCAACTATAGACAAAGTGTGGGGCATGGTTTCACAGACCAAGAGACTCCCAGAGTGGATGCCAATGGTCGAGAGGTGCACAGACCTCGCCGGAGAAGAAGGGCAGGTGGGTTATGTGCGGTTAGTCTCCGGGTTCATGTTCCCTCAAGAAGATGGTGAAAGATCATGGATCAAGGAGAAGTTGATCTCCATTGACCCATCATCCCACAGCTATGCTTACAAGATGGAAGCCAGCAATGTTGGTCTGGATGGTTCTGTGAACAAGCTCAAGCTTGTTGATTATGGGGGCCAAGGATCAAGTACACTAGTTGTCTGGTCATTTGAGATAGACCCTTTGGAAGGTGTATCTCAAGATGGTATTATAGACTTTTTGGGGTTTGTTTACAAGTCTTCCATTGCTAGGATTGGTAATGCCATTCAAGCTGGAGCAACCCTAGCCTAAACAATTCCTTGAAAGAAAAAACACCACATCTACCTTGTGCTTTACAAGTTCACTCACCTATTGACACGCGTTGCACACATGTCAGTCTTCTTGGTTCGTATTTCAAACAGGCCGAGAGCACAATACATTAATGGTTATCATATTGTACATTGCCATAAACAGTGATATGTCATGAAAACAGGTGCATGTTGTTTCATGAACTTGTGTTTGTTGGATGTCCTGGGAAAAAGGCAAGCCCTTGGAGAAAACGTGTTAGAAGGTGCAGAGAAGTGTATAAAGCTGTAAGCCAAAAGTAGTAGTTCCTGAAATCCATTTCTTAACCACGATATCTGTATATTTGGCACCTTTTTAGTTTCTTCTTTAATTTCTTTTCTGTTTTCACTTCCTCACTACGTCAATGTGTGCTTTCAATGCATAGGCTTCTGGAAGTGTAGGTTCCTTTTGACAGAATGTTGCACTCAGTCAAATGAATGAAATGAACAATTGAATTCTGGTTCCGAAGAGATTAGTCCATCGATATGAACAAGAAGAACAAAAAACTGAAAGAAATTGCAGCTGGGCTGTAATTTGCAGATGGGGTTTCAGTCAATTTGACAATGCCATCCATACAAAAGTAAGAACAAAAGAACATTTCTGTGTATTATACAAGAAAACTGGACAAATATAGAATCGCTCTGCCTCTCTCTCTACAGATTGAGCTGAGGGCTACTGTCATTCACCTAACAAGTTGAAAAGACATTCCAGCAAAGCACATCTGATAACCATATACTGATATGAGGTGGTCAGTCACAGATTTGTGTTCCCTCTTTAAAAGGAAGAAACATATACACTTCCCCTCGTTGCAGTAGAAAATCTCCAGAGGAGCCTGCAGGGGAAGAGGCAGAGCCAATATCACGAGATCGATCAATCGGTTGAACGATGCTGCTGCTGATGATTCTCGTCCTTCTCCCAGCATTGGTTCATTCTGCTGTTGGAAAGCACACATTCAGTGTAAGTACAACTTACTGTTTTGTCTTCTGCATGAACATAGAGTTCATCTGTGGCTGGGTTTGAGATGCTATATAAGATAAATGCAGGTGGTGTAGTCTGCAGAGCCATCCCATCCATCTTCATGGAACTCAATTTCTTCGACAAGGGTAAGGATCCCATCAGCTTCAATTTGGTTGATCCGGTCCAGAGGAATACCATGAGTGTCACCACCGGAGGATGGACACACGATCCGGTTCGGAGCCGATAATCCTGATGAATTTAATTCCTTTTCGAGTTGTAATAATTGAAGATTTTCACATATTTTCCTCATTACTGTCTGTAAACTTGTACAGAAAGCAAGGATTATAAAATCGTATGAAACGAATTTACAAATATACGAGTTAATTGTGTGTTTGGATGTGATGTGGATGTAGGTGTATGGTTTTTGCATTGCCATTTGGAGGTGGAGAATGGAAAAGGTCCATAATGAGTTTTTCTTTAACCTCCCACAATACTACAAAGTACAAAGGCTGAACTGCAGAATTCAGGAATCAACAAAGAGACAGTTGGAGTAGGGTTAGTAGACAGACAGGGGAGGTTTGTACTTTGTAGTAGGGGGAGTGAGTAAAACTAATAAACTATACATCTTATATTTTTTTATTATAATTCAAAATTCTTATGGAAGAGTTGGGACTTGGGATTTTGGGAATCTTTTTTTTTTTTCCCCTTCTTTTTCAGTGAGATGTGATGATTGAGGTGATGGGTACAAAAAAAAAAAGGGCTTACAAATTACAATGATTGGACACAAGGAAAATAAAAAGAAAGAAGCCCAATAATAACCTTTTGATTTTCCTTTTTGCCTTTCACAAATCTTTTCCCCCCTTTCTGTTTTTGGAGTTATACCACCAAAGGGAAAAGTTGAACAGAAAAAAGAGTGTAAAATAAAAAAAGGGTTGCACCAAAGTTAGGGTTTTGCCACTTTCATGGCTCCCTCTCTCCATCTCTGTCTCTACCCTTCTCTTTCAAGCAATTGGAGAGAGGTTTGTTGTTTAGTGTAAAACAGGGGATTCAGTCATACACTTGCAAGTTGTGAATGGGGGAAATGGCTGTAAGCCTGTAACTGTTTGTAAAATTGCACTCTTCCAATTGAAGGGAAGTGAAAATCGGGTCCCTCCATTTTTGGGGCCTCTTTGTCGTTTGCGTTTCCCCATTTTATGACAAAAGCACAAAGAGGGGATTGTTTGGGGTATTCGTTTTCCTTTTCTCCTTGTCGTTCTGCCAATTTATGTGCATAATAACAAAGTAATAAACTAATAATGGAATTAAAAGCAAAGATAGGTATGGGCAAAGATTCACGGGAGAAATGATTGACAACAAATTCAAGGGATATGGGGAAGTTTTACCTACATTAAGAGATTAGTTATCAATTAGTACACACCTTACTAATTGAAATTCATAACCTTTTGAGCCACAAGCACGTTTCGACTGTATTTGAATTCACTCAATTATTATTGGATTTCAATTGATAAAATAATTCGAGGTACGCGGTTAGAAAACGACATCAAAGCTCGCTTATTGACTTAAAAAAAGATGCATTCAGACAAAAGTTTTACTTTGAGGTTGTAGCTGCTCATAATTTTGTTAGAGTCACAAACTAGGTACCGGAATTTGGAGTATACTCCACTTACTAGCATTCTAAATTCATTTGTATTACAACTTTCACAAACATGAAAGTCACAAAACTGTACATATAGTGAAGATAAAGCAAAAGAACGATACTTCTTCCATGCCTTATTGTTTGTTGATTATCTTTCATCGGTTTCACAATCCTCGTACTATCATGCCCATCCACAAAAATATTGGAAAGGTGATTTCATTAACTTCGATAATTAGGTGAACTAGAAGAAGATTAGGCACATGAGGGAAGGGTGGAGTGACCTTATAAACAATGACAGATGACGAGCGACGACTATAAATGTAACGACAAAAATGCAGTACTCATCGGCGACCATAATTATAAGGGCCTCCAATAGGGTTTCAACTTTCAACACTTAATATCGAATAAACACGTACAAAATATTGGATGTATAACTTGATCGCTGGACGATTTTTTTCAAGCAACACCACCTGAATAATGAAGATAACAATGTAGATAGCATCAATCATCGTTGCTCGTTGTTGTTTTTTTCCTCGTTATAAGTAAAAAAAACATCTCTACCTACTTAAAAATGGCTATGCAACGTACCTGAGTGAAAAACTCTTTCTGAAATGACCCATCACCAAAGGAAAATGATGAACCTTTTTGTCTTCATGTGTATGTGTTGGTGTGGTGCAACAAAAACTAGGTAGCTATTGCAGTATTGAAAGTTTCAAACTGGAGGGATCGCCGGAGATCGGAAGTCGTTTTCATCTTCTCCATTGAAGAAGTCGACTGACCATAACTCCCCAAATTGAAAACAACAAAACTATGGCAAGTTTTTTCAAAACGTCACAAACCAAGATTTGCTCCAATGCCACAAATAAAACATAACTCGCGCCAGAGGCGGACCCAGAAATTTTTTATAGGGGTGTCCTCTTTTAAAAATAAATTTAATAAAAATAATTAATAATTAATAAAAATAAAATCGTAAATTTGAAAATACCTTACTCGTACAGGTTAAAAAAGTCCATGATTTGTTTTCATATTTGAAAATAATTGTAGAATACACTTGGTGTCTAGAGTGTTAAAAAAAAAATTGTCTCTATATACCCTACTAGACAATCATTCACGAACTTATCGCATATTCGATTTGTAAACTTGTTCTCGATGTAACCCAAAGCTGAAAGACTCTTTCAGCACTTGCAGTATTAATGGTAGCTTGAAATTAGTTTAATTGTTAGGTTTTTAAACTAATTAGAGATAAGAAATGACATTTTACTATTACATTTTTCAAAATCGAACAACAAATAAGTTGTAGGTCAACGAAAATTAAGTTTATTAATAAGAATAGTGTTCTAAATTTGAATTATCCAATCTACCACTTATATTCCTATACACAAATGACAGTAGGATAATCATGTTTTCATATCAATTATATTTTTTTTGTCCATCAATAAATTACCGCCGGGGTTGGATAATCGTATTCCCAAAATTTAGGGGTGTCCGGGGACACCCCTAAAACCCCCTGGGTCCGCCCCTGACTCGCGCCAACTTAGCTGCCGCCTTGGTCGTCATAGTAGTATATAGCTAGCTGGATACGTGTGTTCTTAGATTATGACCTCCATACTGACCCGTATAAGGAAAAATTCTAGAATATATTGTATAAGAATTTTATCAATCAACATACTCTTTGACCCTCGTATTAATACAAGGTTGGACAAATATTTTAATTAGTGTTGGAGTTACGTATAATTCAGCATCAACTGTCATTTCTCTTTAATATTTTATTTTAGGTTATCAATCCACATACAAAATAATTTAATTGTTATGGTATAATTAAAATCTAATTTAATATAGATATCAATTCATAATCAACTCAATCCAACACAAGTAAACAAGAACACCATTTTATTGTCAAATTTGATTAAAGAAACAAACGAGAATAATAGACCCGACAACAATTACTCAACCCACAAACCCCCCACCAAATTACATGGAAGGTAAAATGTTACGTATTGTTGTCGTCGAGCTACTGTGAGCAAGTCCAACTTTTCTGTATTGTGCTCCTTCTAAAGCCCTTCCTTGAAATTATTCTCATTTGAAACTATGTCACTATTACAACTAGGGTGGCTAGGGAAGTGGTCTTGTAGGCGCCTTCAAACATCACATTATTTTCGGCCTATATTTGCGACTCATCGAGGCCTATTATTTTCAACCCTAACTATGAGAGCGGACGTAATCGGCTAGTCGGTTAACCGTATATATCGGTTAGTAATTAGCTAAATTTGGGAGAATTGTCATTTATTGTTTAATCAATTATCAATGTAACCGTTAATCACCGATTCCAGTTCAATTATTAGTTATACCGCTAACAGGATAACCTTTTACAGACGCTACACAGTATACACTAACACTCAACTCTATATCCTACAACACTAAATCCTAACCTCTAAAACTTATTTAATTATAATGAACAATCAACAATTTCAATTCATCAAAATACCACCATAGTTTAATAATATCAGTAAAGGTATACCTAGAAGTTTCCATATGGACTTGCATAATAAACTATGAAGTTATGTATTTTGTGAGTGTTTACCGAAGTATTCACGTCAATCGAAAGAGATCTCCATTCTTCATTAAAAAAAAGAACACTACAATGGAAAATTCAGTTGTCATCTTCCTCAATTAAAATTAAAAAGAGAGAAAAAGGGAGAACAGTAGCAAGTGCTTTCAATAGAGGTGTTATATAGTGGCAAAACACTCCCCACTCCAATGTCCAGCAGCCACCTTTCCCACTTGCCAAAAACCTCTGCTTTCCTTTCCTTTCCTCTCCTCTCCTCTCCTTCTTCTTCCCGACCTTCCGACCTTCCCTCTTCGATCCCATCTCCACCACACACAGAAACCCAGAACCCACCTCTCAATTCTTCCTCCCCAATTTAAGATTCCACTGAGAAACCGCCCAAATCAAAGACTCTGTTTTTTTCCTGGATTCTTCCTCTCATATTCTGCTCTTCTTACCTCCCCCACAAAATCTCGCCTCAATTCCCGATCTGGGTTCCTTCCTAAGGTTGAAATCGACACAAAGAGATAGAGATTTTTATTCTCCTTTTGAAATCCCCCCTCCCTCGATTCCCCTTTTCCCAGATTCTCCACACAAGAAAAGGCAGATTCTTCAGTAGCCCCCCTCCTCTGTTTTCTGCCGACTCAGAAACTGATAAAAATCCCCACTTCCCACACTTCACTATGAAGACTCCGTTCCTTCTTTGAACCCACCAAAAGAGAGCAAAAGAACACGCATAAAAACGAATCAGTAGCCATGGAAGCCCTTTACCCGCATTTCTACATGTCGAGCCACCACCTGCTGAACGACAACAGCAGCAGCAGCAGCAGCCAGAGCTCGGAGTGGACCAAAGAAGAGAACAAGGCCTTCGAGAGCGCTCTGGCTCTCTACGGCGAGCACGATCCGCACCGCTGGCTCAAAGTCGCCGCCATGATCCCGGGGAAATCGGTCTCCGATGTGATCAAACAGTACAGGGAGCTGGAAGAAGACGTGTGCGAGATCGAAGCTGGGCGCGTCCCGATCCCCGGTTACCTGGCCGCGGACGACGACCCGGCTTTCAGCCTGGACCTCATCGCCGGGCCCGACTTCGTCGATTCGTTCAGAAAGCGGCCCATGGGCTCCACTAAGACCTCCGATCAGGGCCGCAAGAAGGGCGTCCC